TGAAAAACGGAAATTGTGCTTGCTCCTTTTCCTGTTGGGCGGTTGTGATTTCTGTCCATTTATTGCGGAGGTGCTCCGGCGTCCGGCGAAAATAGGATCGATTCTATTTTTGCCGGACGCCGGAACAGAGGGTGGCGCACGGCGCCGCACTGCCGGAGCACGGCCGCAGTAGTGGAATTGCTCTGATTGACTACAACGGGACCGATTTTGCTCCGGCGTTCGTGTTGGAGCGGAGCGGAGCGGAGGTAGTGGAATTTGGGGGTTACTGTGCGGCCCCGTGAGAAGTTATAACCTAGCTAGCTGTCTCCTTTGTTTTTCAGGTCCGTATTGGCGATTATAAAACGGACAGAACATAAAACACAAACCATGTTGTAATTTTCTCCTGCTTGTTGTTGTGTTTACTGACGAAGTCACTCGTGTGACTTCGTGCTCGGTCGGTCACAGCTGCTCCCCTGCTGCTTCGCGTCTCGTGGGAAGGGCCAAGCAGCAGCTTATGCGAGCCAGATGTGCTGCTGCAGTAACGTGCTGCTGACGGCTCCCGTGGAAACCCGGGGTTAAGATGAAAGACCTGGGTAGACTTAAAAAGTTTTTGGGCATTGAGTTCACACAGGAAATGGGAGAACTGAACATGAATCAATCCAAGTTCTTATTGAATTTACTTGAGAGGTTTGGTATGTCAGAGTGTAAAACACGATCAACTCCATGTTGAAGGTGGTGAACTTGTTGATGCCAGAAAGTACAGAAAAATGGTTGGTAGTCTGATATATGTGATGACATGTACAAGGCCAGACATTTCTTGAATTGTTAGTAAGTTTTCGCAATATTTCCTAGAACCTAGAGAACAGCACTGGCAGCAGCTAAACAGGTGTTGAGATACCTGAAGGGAACCATACACCAAGGTTTGTGCTACAGCAAGAGTAGTGACAAGTTACAGCTACAGTGATGCAGATTGGGCTGCAGATGTATCAGATAGATTCAGCACAACAGGTTATTGTTTTAGTTTGAACAGGAGTGGCTCTGTTGTTTCTTGGAAAATCAGAAAACAACAAACAAACCTCTACATGTGAGGCTGAGTATGACCCTAACTGCTACTACACAAGAGAGTATCTATGTTGTACAACTGTTACAAGGTTTGGATGATGGATGTTATGTGCCAGTGACAATATTCGGTGATAGTCAAGATGCAATAGCACTAGCTAAAAACCTGATAGGTTGCCAAAGGAATAAACACATTGACATCAGATATCATTTTATTAAATCAATATTAAAGGATGGAAGAATCACTATTATATTGCCCAAAAACTGACATGGTTGCAGATGTATTGATGAAACCTGTAACAAAATGTACGATGGACATACACAAGATGTAGTCATTTGTAAAGAAAGAAAAGTAAATCAGAATGTTGATGTTACTTATAAACACATAGGAGTCAACAATATAAGACGAAGTGGGGGTGTTGCAAATCAGTTCTTGATAGTGTGTGCTCTTACACCTGTGTGTATGTGGAGATGTCCAATCAGGTGTTAATAAAAAGAAGACGTACCGTGACGCTAATGTCACGTGTGTCTCTGAACTGTCAATCGAGTCCATTGTGTCAGTGTGTCCTTCCTTCGTCACAATCAGTTAAGCCATCGGTTATCCAGTCCATATGCAATTCTCAACAAAGTATCTCAGAAACAAATTAAGAATCACTAAAACATCAGAGGAATCACAAAAACAAAAGAACAAAACAAAAGAAGAATCACAAATAAACTAAGAATAACAAAAACAAAAGAACAAAACAAAAGACGAATCACAAAAACTAATTGAAAAACACACTTATATTAAGACACCGGAAAGGGTAGGTACCAGTTGGCAACAGGGGACATCACTGATTGGACAATCGCACTAAAACAAAAGAAGAATCACAAAAACAAATTAACAACTGCTAAAACATAAGAGGAATCACAAAAAGAAAAGAAGAATCACCAAAAAATATAGACAAATCACAAAAACAAATTGAGAAACACAATTACATTGAAAAAACGGAAAGAGTAGGTACCAGTTGGCAACAGGGGACATCACTGATTAGACGAGTGCGCTGGTCGTCTTCGGAACCAGAAGTTACTTTGCCTGCTTCGCGAGAAGAATGACGAAGCTGAAGTTAAAATGGTAAAAGCCTGTATTTGATATAGCACCTTCGAGAGTCCTGGAACCCCCCAAGGCGCTTTACAACACAATCAGTCATTCACCCATTCACACACACATTCACACACTGGTGCGGATGAGCAACAATGTAGCCACAGCTGCCCTGGGGCGCACTGACAGAGGCGAGGCTGCCAAGCACTGGCACCACCAGTCCCTCCGACCACCACCAGCAGGCAACATGGGTTAAGTGTCTTGCCCAAGGACACGACAGCGACAGACTGAGCGGGGCTCAAACCTGCAACCTTCCGATTATGGGGCAAGCACTTAACTCCTGTGCCACCGTCGCCCCATGTTGGTTCCCATTTCTGGTTTCCTTCAGCCATGTGTCAGAATCCAGAGGCAGGATGCTTGTAAGGATGGGTCCTTACCGACAGGCGCGCAGATAGGGTGGGGGACGGGGGGGATCTGTCCCCTCCAGATTCAGATTGACCCCGATACGTCCCCTGCACTAAGGCCAGAAAGAAAACAAAATCGGAGGTTAAGCGCTTGAAGCTCCTTTTTCCAATTACAATGAATGCAGCATGACGTAAACAAACACTAACTCCAGAGCAGTCTGAGCAGAACCTTCCTGAACCGTCTACAGGTGGTTCAGAATGCCTGTGCTCGGCTTCTGACCAAGTCCTCTAAACACACCCACATCACCCCGCTTCTCCTCCAGCTTCACTGGCTGCCAGTCAACTTCAGGGTTCATTTCAAGATCCTGGTTCTGGTCTATAGGGCCTTACATGGACAAGCACCATCTTACATTGGTGATCTTCTCAGTTCCTACACCCCCAGCAGGTCCCTGAGAACCAGGCTAAAGACCAAAGGTGACAGATCATTTGCTGCTGTGGCCCCCAGACTCTGGAACTCTCTGCCCCTGTACCTGATATCAGTGGACTCACTGGTCTCCTTTAAAAAGCAGCTGTTTTCAGCTGTTGAAGCTGACTTTTGCGTGACCATCATCACCACTAGGGATGCACCGATCAGGTTTTTTGCTGCCGATCACCGATACGATATCAAAGAATGCTGATCACCGATGCCGATCACCGATACCGATCACGTGGATTGGCCAGAAATTTTCTACAACATTATAATGAGTGCTACAAACTACATAATCTGGGAATAAAGGAAATGTAACCTAATCTAAAATGGTCTGTATTAGGGTTGTCACGGTGTGAAAATTTAACCTCACGGTTATTGTGACCAAAATTACCACGGTTTTCGGTATTATCTCGGTATTTTTTTTAAACGTGTTACATTTTCACACAACTAAATAAATCCTGTATATCAGGAAAATATTGTCCTCAGTTTGTGTCTAAATTTTGCCTAAAATGAGTTATTTTGTAATTATGTTGTTTATTTGTTTACATTTTTTCCCTTTAGTCTTTAAAATGCCAATATTTGCCCATAACTTCTTATTTTATGTCTGTTTGATGTCATCATTTAAAAATATTAGATCAGATGATACTCAGTACTCAAGTAGCCTTCTGATCAGATACTTTTTTACCCTTACTTGAGTAATGAACCCTATATCAGGAAAATATTGTCCTCGGTTTGTGTCCTTCCAGTGAGCTTTGCAGATGTGGGAAAATGTCATCAGGCAGTAATCATTGTTAAATTCATAATTATTCTCGGAGAGAGACCAACTCTTATCTTCCCCTGGGAGCCCCGTAATGCATAGCGTCATTTCAACATGGCGGTGTCCGCGACACGGTTTATATGCAGGTAGCGGCGCTGCGGCTGCTTTAAATAGCGACTCGTTGCGTTCTCCCTCAACCCAAATCCTCGGATCATGCATTTTAGCTAAAGCGCTAACGTTAACTTGCCTTGCGTTGACTGCAGAGTTGTGGGTGATGGTCACGCAGATGCGTCATGAGATTTGAAGCGTTGCTGCCTTTCATAGACACTTTTCCTGCACGTGCTGCAATCAGGATAGCCGTCTTCTATCAGCTGTCCCTCGGCATTCTTCAAATATCTAAAATATGCCCGTACTTACGACTTTGTCTTCTTTGAGGGATAATAAATGTCCTCCTGAGCGCTGCCATCTCCTCCTTTGGCCATTATTTCAGCTTTAGCTTCAAAAAAGGTTTGGTTGTAAACATCAAAGTGCGCATGTGCCGCCGGCAACTTCATGATGATACGGTGGCTGGTAAGGGTCACCGCGCCTACACCGCAGCCACGGTAAACCCACCAAGATAATATAGTTTTTTAAAAAACAAGACGGTTATTATTGTAAACTTTTTTTTTACCGGGGTTTACCGCTACTCCGGTTACCGTGACAACCCTACCTGATCGGTCTACTTTGATCTATTTTGAAAATTCCGATCAAAACCGATAGGGGCGCTATCGGCCGATTACGATCAAATGCAGATCCATCGGTGCATCCCTAATCACCACCTTCTCCTTACTCTGCGCTTTCTACCAACTCCACCTTTCCCTGGATCCACTGATTTCCCTCTTTCCTTGTCCTTAATTTTTTTAATCACAATTTTTTTCTTCTCATTTTAACCTTTTTTTAAAACATCTTTTTACTATTCAGAATTTCTTGTTCTTGTGAAGCACCACGTGATTTTTATTTTGAGATGCGCTATATAAAGATAATTTTCTTTCTTTTCTTGTCTTTCCAATAACACTAAAGTCCTGAACATCTCATTTCCACTATGACTCAAGGTGAACTCACTAATAAATAGCATCAATCTCACCACAAATTAATTACTATTAGGTAAGAAAATACAGACTGGTGAAAGCAAAGTTCCTGTTGTCTGAGCTTTTGTTTAGTACACAAGTAAACATTCTTAGTTGGACTCACTTGTTGCATTTATCTCTACAGGACAGCGTGATGACAGCATTAGCACTCAGAGCAGACAACACAAAACAAGCAGCAAAGAGTCACACAGTCCCAGAGCTGCCAATGGGATGAGCCAGAGCCTGGCTTCAGTTCAGATCCCTTCCAGTGATTACTATTTATCATTCTCCAAATGGATTTCTGACATCAACCAGGAGCTGCTAACATCAGGAGCTGTGATCCTTCCAGGTGGGAAAGTCTAATTTCAGTCTACCTTACAGCTGCCCTGCGCTCATGGAGTTTTACCTTGAGTCTAAATGGGCTTTTGATAGATGGTTAACTTGTGTAACCCGGATCAAAGGTTTGACCACTTGAAAAGTGGCCCAAAATCATTTTTTGCATGATTGCAACTGAACAAAGTTCAAAGTGGAGTTTCAACGTGCAACAAGAAGAAATAAGAGTGACATAAACCTTTTCTTAGCAGCAATTTATTTATGTTAAATAAAGCCATGATACTCAGAACTGTAATTAGAAAGTAACTTTTGGGTTAGTAAACTGTCATAACAGGGTCCCACCTGAGAAATTTTTATGCGCCACAGTGGAGGGGGTATCATAATGATCTGGGGTGCTTTTTTCCTTTAGTAGAACAATAGAGCTTCAGGAGGTGCAGGGGCGTCAAATGGCTGCTGGATGTCCAAATGTTGCAGAGTGTATCTCCGAGATTTCTGAAAAAACATCTGTCCGTCTCCAAATAAATACCAGCCATCCACGGTCCCCCCAGCGCGCTGCCCCTCTATATGTAGAGGAGACCGTCTAGTTATTGATGCACTTCGCCCGGGACTCTGCCAGCTGCTGGTTGTGGCCCCCGGAGCAATCCTCTGTACCTCTCAAGAGGGGGCTGGGGCTTTTCTAGTTACGGTCTCCCTGGGATCCCTGCGCTCTGGGGCAGCTCCTGGATCTCTGGGACTTGGAGCTCCCTCCATCTCCTACACATCTTTGGGAGCAGGTCTGTGGTCCCACACACTCCCTCTCACACAACACCTCTTAACTGAAATCCCACACTGTGGGCCTGTGCACTGAAAATTGAGTGCAGTGGGGCCTAAAAACTGAAATGGCCGCTTCACTCAGAAACTGGGCATAAAACAAAAAGCATGTGTATAAAAGGTGGCAGTACTCACAAAGTCCAGGTTTATGGTAGCAGGGGGAAAGGGAATTTGGGATGAGCTGTCTCACATATGGTAAGGGAAAACAGTGATTCCTGAGGAATGACAACAGGACACTCCACAGCAGAAAACAGGCATGGAACACGCAGCGGGGCAGTTGGATGGAAAACCCTCTCTCTCTCTCTTCTCCAACCTCCGTCTCCTCACAGAGCATATTATTCAAAATTTGCCAACTTATCAAACACTATCTCTTGATGAATTAGCATTAACTTCGCTTTAAATTCAGAAATAACACCATGCAAAGGCACATGCACACTGAATGCTAATGCTAATTAGCAGGTCGCTAACCACATTACACTTCCAGTTTTTTTCACTAACAGTTAGTCATTGCATATTTCAGGCATTTACAATCACATTAACCTCTTGCAGGTCACAATTGAAGCTTATATAAAGGACCGCGATTAGCACTGAGATCTAACAACCCTTACGAAAAAGAAGTATACTTTAAGTATATAATTTCAAGTATACTTAAGAGTACAGAAGTTTATTTGCATACTTGTTCTTAAAGTTTACTTAGAAGTATACTCCTTGGGACTAAATTGGGCCACTAAAAGTATACTTGAAGTATACTGCAAGTATACTTCAAAGTAATAATTTAAGTTTATTTGTAGTGTACTTCTGATATAATTGAGTATACTTTTCTCTTTGAAAGTATACTTAAAGTAACCTCACAAGTGTACTTGGGAGTGTACTTCAGATATAATTGAGTATACTTTTCTCCTTGAAAGTATACTTATAAGTTTACTTGTAGTGTACTTCTGATATAATTGAGTATACTTTTCTCCTTGGAAGTGTACTTAAAAGTAACAATATAAGTTTACTTGTAGTGTACTCCTGATATAGTTGAGTATACTTTTCTCCTTGAAAGTATACTTATAAGTTTACTTGTAGTGTACTTCTGATATAATTGAGTGTACTTTTCTCTTTGAAAGTATACTTAAAGTAACCTCACAAGTGTACTTGGAGTGTACTTCAGATATAATTGAGTATACTTTTCTCCTTGAAAGTATACTTATAAGTTTACTTGTAGTGTACTTCTGATATAATTGAGTATACTTTTCTCCTTGGAAGTATACTTATAAGTTTACTTGTAGTGTACTTCTGATATAATCGAGTATACTTTTCTCCTTGGAAGTATACTTAAAAGTAACAATATAAGTTTACTTGTAGTGTACTCCTGATATAGTTGAGTATACTTTTCTCATTGAAAGTATACTTAAAAGTAACAGTATAAGTTTACTTCTAATAAAATTGAGTAAACTTTTGCCCTTGAAAGTATACTTAAAAATAAACTTTAAGTAACATTATAAGTTTACTTGTAGTGCACTTCTGAAATAATTGAGTATACTTTTCTCTTTGAATGTATACTTAAAATTATACTTAAAGTAATAATATATGTTTACTTGTAGTGTACTTCTTATATAATTGAGTATACTTACAGTTGTGAAAGTACACTTTACAGTAAACTTGACGTAATATTCTTTTAGTACATTTAAGTATCTCTATTTTTTCTATAAACACATACTGCAAGTAACATTTAACATCTGCTATTTGCTTACTACCAATACATTTAATTTCCACTATTTACTGATACTTCGTCTTTATGCAGAGAAAAAAAAATTAAATAAAATAGCTAAGTCATGTTGTTTAAATTTATTAAACAGAGAGAATTAGAACAGAACAAAAACAGACCTGTTTACCAGGATTAATCAAAGATGAGAACGCAAACTGTTCTGAACATGACACGTTAATTCTGTCCATTTTGAAAGACTTTTTAGAAATGCCTTTAAAAAATCAGTCCATTTTATGGATCCACTTGCTTGGTTGTTGATGCCTTTTTGAAGTTTTCATTGTTGCATTTCTTTCGTGTTATTTTTCTTACATCTTGAACGCGCAGAGATGGAAACTTCAACTGAGCATGCCCTGTGAACACACAAAGCAAAAAATGAACACTTGAACTGTTAGGTGAACTCTGACACCACAAAATCTTTACAGTTCGTACACTGTAAACCCGAATAAGTAGGCAGAACTCAAAAAATGTAAGGCAATCAGTTGCCTCATATTTTCTGAGTTTATAAACTCAGATATTTGAGTATATCAGACCATAAATAAACTTAAATATTTGGAGTTTATATTAAATATATTTTCAAATTATGATCAAATTAAAGTTACCGATTAAGCCAACTCAAACAGAAAATAAAACAAAATTTGAAAGAAACAATTACAAACGCACACTTTTGAAAACTGGACAACAGCAGTGTGTAGTCTTTCTTTGAGTAGGTGGTTTAAAGCAACATCAGGATGCACATCAATTCAACATTAACAAAATATGAATTACACTAACCACTATCAAGTAAGTCAGTGAGTACTTTATGCCATTTGGCATAAAACCAGTTGAGTATTGAATCGGATTAGCCTATGGGCTAATCCGATTCAATTATTCACACTAAACTAAAGCCACAAATGGAGTTGCCAGACTCAGAACGGCTGGACGAACAGAGAAAAGGTAAAACTCAACTGTTCCTCCCACTGTCTTTATGGGTGACCCCGCGAGGAAAGTTGACCATTGAGCAGGGTTGATGGTTTATCCCTTGAGGTCCACGTGGCAGGGGTGAGGTGGTGTTCACTCCTCACCCCTGCCACGTGGACCCAAGGGATGAACCATCAACCCTGCTCAATGGTCAACTTTACTCGCGGGGTCCTACCCATTAGGACAGTGGGAGGGTTAACTCAAGGAGAAGTGGAAAATGAACATATTTGCCCAAATGGTGGTGTGTTACTTTAACATCAACAATTAAAGAGCAGACAAATAGTAAATTACATTGTGGATGTGGACAATGCTCTAACAGAGTGAGCCATCTGAATCCACCACTCTTTCAGATTTTGAGTTACACATGTAACATCAGGTCATTTTTGACTCTGCAGCGTGGGTGACAGTTTAGACTCATCAAGACCAAGTAAGATTTTCTGCGTGAACTCAAATGTGTTGGTCAGTCCCTTCGGATAATCTAGATGTAAGGCATAGATGAGGCCGAACATTACCAGGAAGGCATCAGGAAGGCTGGAGAGGTTGACAATCACATCACCCTCTAGGATAACAGATTCTCACTGGGTCATACGTAACTGGACTCTCGGCATCATCGGTGATGGCTGTCAGGAGGACAACTGCTGCATCCCTGAGGTCCGGCTCATTGGTATCATCCTTACAAAAATGAAAGGGAGATCATACACTAATCACATCTGAACTGAAACTCTGACTGTGGCCATTTTTATTTCAGTAGATTTTCATGTAAATAACAATAAATGCAGTCTGATAGACTCCTGTTTAGGGCTGGGCAACATGTCAAAGATTTATCGTTATCCAAGTTCTTGTCTCTCATCCAGATAATTTTTCCCATGTCAATAAATTTGATAATAAAAAAATGAAAAGATGTGTAAGTTGGCCACAATTATGTCCCTTTAAGAAGCTGTAGCACCTTGAGTCATGTAAAATTTTAGTCAATGTAATACATGAGACAGCCCCATCTAGTGGACAAATATTGTTGCTACACATTCCTGTAGTTATCGTCTACTTATCGTTATCGAGGTGAGATCTTCAATATATGGTGATATTGATTTTAGGCCATATCGCCCAGCCCTACTCCCGTTCATTCTGTTGCTTTGTGCTCTCATTTACGAATAAAGTGAGATGGCTTCAGTGTGTGCCAGTGTTATGCTAATGAAAGCTGCTTGAATTCTTTGCAGTGATTGTTGATTTTTCTCAGTGCCTTAAAGCCTGCCACACGAGTGCCATCTGCTGAGCAAACGGCCTCGAATGACCGCTTGCTCAGCAGATACCTCGCCATGTGCGCCTGATTTTCACAAGAGTTTTCCGCCTCACGAGACACTGAGGTGAATATCTGACCAGTTAAGATATTTTTCGCCTCACAGGGGTAAAAACTCGCCGTGTGCACATTACTGAGCTGCTGGTTGAGCTGAAATATTCTAGTGGACAACCAAAGCACGTTCTCCGCTCACATGACCCCA